TCCTTCGGTTGATACATGGATTATATACAATGTACTTTTAAACTAAAGTGGAGGAATATTTACACAAAACTTTTCTTATCACATATTTAGTGTTAATCATTTCCATGTTAACAGTACAGTCGTTTGACCAGTTCCGAATTTTGGTCAGTTCTGAATATTAATAATTTAAGAGCTGATTATTAATAATTCAAAAGTGTAAACATGAATTCATAAATATATTATGAAGGCTTATCTATGAGTGTTAGAATTATGTGAAGTTTTGATTTTTGCCGTCAGTTTGTGTTCGCTATCTTACTTGAAACAGGCGACATACTTTTACAGTACAACAAATCTGAATCACCGCGACGCGATTGTCTGCAGGAAAACGTCTGTAAAGACGTCAATTTTTCACATAAACAACATTTCAACTATCAAAAGTAAAGATATCGGAATATTTTCATGTTGTCATTTTACTAGTTCCGAATACGCATTATAAACACTATATAATACGTTTCTCTGTTATTTATCTTTATCCTTTTGAAATACCACTTACTTACTGGTAAGCATTTATTTTAACTTTTCCAAGGCATGTCAATTGATAGGTGCGGGACGGATATTTTTAATTTAGGGTCGGATTGCATGGGAACCGCTAAGGTATTCGGAACTCGTCGGCTTATTCTTAACTAGTAAAATGAGTACCCATGTTAACTTGCTAAAATAAAAAAAACTTTTTGAAAGGCTGAACTTTTATGAAACAACATTTGATTCCGCAAGTCATTGAACTACTTTGACAAACAAATTAAATTTTGAAATAATGCCGTCATGTAGTACCGGCTAATCAGTTCTATTCGCAACTGGTCAAACGACTGTATTCTTCTCAATGTCAAGACTGTTTCAGAAAAGGTACATTACATATTGATAAATATAATTTTTTTCACATCACAGTCTTGATATTTTGAAAATAAGTATATTTACTCCATGGAATACCCTTCATCCAAATCTCAGACAAACAATTTACAATGAACGAGAATTCACTGACAAAAATTAGGTAGTTCATATACCCCTGAACAAAAAGAGTTCATAAAGAGACCCAAGGATTAAAACATAGATTAAAACCCCTAAACATTAGTGACAAGTATATCATCTAACTTTTTTAGTCTTCCCATATGTACTACAATATCACAGTAACTAGCTAACACATCTTTGTTTAAAGTATACAATCAATCATGACTTTAAATACAACAAACCTGCAATATTGTGACGTGTAACCGTGCGGATGTTACAAAAATAATAAAAAATATTTACAAAAATATTATCCTCAATTTAAACTGAGCTACTTGCTCAAAAAGTGATTCGTGGAAAGCGCAGATAACTTCTGAGAACCTAACAAAGAGAAATTATGTACAAAGACTTTTGAGACGGGGTTAAAATTAAAGTCTCAATTTAGCCCTATTTAGTTGTCTCAATTATGTCTCACTGCTGGCTTACTTTTTTATACTAAGTTTTACTTTAATCATTAAAAGTTTAACTTAATGCAAGATAGGGAAAGAATGACTTGTTCAGTTACGTCTAATCCCTGTCTCACCTTTTCTTAAGTCTACTTCAGCAGCTCAACTTTTCTACTCGACAACCTGTTGTCTGGCTGTGTGTCTCTGCACTGAGAAGACAGCGCTTTTATACCTTTCCTTAATAGTATCCTTGATTTTCATTGGCTAGTGACTTAATATAATCTTCTCTCTACTAGAGAGTTCCTAATTTCTAACAAGAGTTATCTCTGATCAACACATTATGATCTGACAATCAGAATATTTATACATACATGTGTATAGGCCGTCAAAGTTTCTCATATTACATGAAATATCAACCCTCTTTCACTTCATACAGAACTTGCAAATTGAAAGCCATTAATCAAGCATATTGATAATAATTTCATAATGAATTTTAACTACAATTACTTGTTACATGTTAATTAACTTATGGATATCAATCACGTTGCAAGATTGGCATATATTTCTCACAGGAAAAAAAAATTAATTTATAACATGATCCCCAAGATTCAAAAATCTTTTCTTTAATATAAATCATTACTTATTTACTAGTTCTTAATAATTTCTGTAAATGAATCTGCATGTTGTGAACTAAGTTTCGTTTAATATTTTTGGTCCTGAGAATATCTATTCTCACACCTTCTTCTACACAAGAGTTTCCATATGTATCCTACACATACATTCACATAGTTTCACACAACACTGGATTTCAAATATCACATGACATAGCTCCACTGTCTATGCTTTACTTAGGTTTGTGTGACATCATTGGAAAGTTCCCTCTTTATCCTGATAACGATTTCCCCTCCTGGCCGTCAAACTGATTTCCTCTGCATCAAATCTGAAATTATGCAATGTTTAATCATGAATTCAGTGTTTTCATTCTCCCTCTTTACGATTTTTACTAAAACAGTCTGTAGTATCTTTAATGCTTTGAGAATGTAATTATATTTGAGAGTCTTATTTACTTTCATTGTCAGATGACCAACATACAGTTGAACTTTGGTATTTCAAGTACATGTAGGTCATACATTTATATGCTCGTGCTAAACATTTAAAAAATTTATAAATATACATTAGTGATCAGTGGTTTGGGTTCCCAAAAAGCACAACGTCACAGTATTTTAGAAAAAGCATCTTTTTTTAAAAAAAAATACAATCACTCATGCTTTTAAATACTGTATAACAACAAACCTGCAATATAATCTGATAGTCATTATATTTATATACTCTAATATAACATGAAATATAAAGGTAACCCATATTTACTTCATAACTTGCTTATTCAAAGAACCATTAATAATAATTCATTTTATACATGTTATATCTATCATTTAATTCATATTCATAGAATATATACTATTAAGCATATTGAAAGATGGGAAGGTTTCTTCTAGAAACATTTTTTAATGTGGAAGTACTTATTTAAAACGTGTAATATGCGCAAATTAGACTGACGAAATCAGAAACAGAGCTATTCTATTTATCTCGTCATATTCTTTCAAATTGATTTCTACAATAAATAATGAAATCCTAAATGATTCACGTTCATGTAGCTAGATTATGTTATTTTGCAATTAATTCAGCTGTATAAACAAACTGCTGATAAGTCCTCAGATAGTGAAAATTCAAATTTGTGAAAATAAATGCCCCCAGGGGCCACAACAAGGGATCAAAGTTTACCATAAGAGGTTTTTAAACTTTTAAAATCTTTTCAAGAACATCATCAGGGCATTCACTAGTCAAATTATAATTTGTGGTGTAGATTTAATGTTGTTCAAATCATGGGGATAAATAAAAAAATCTTCTTAAGAACCAATCACTAGGTAAGAAGAAATAAAACATAAAAGAGCGTTTTCTGACTTAGTGTATATTCCAGATCGTTCAAATTACAGTCTTCAGTGATAGGATAGTACCATAACAGTGAATCAAATTTTTACATGGGAGTGCGCAAGAAAATCTTTTCTTCTCAGAAACCACTGGGTCAGAAAAAAGTTACTTATAAGAACGCTTTCTGACATAGTATACATTCTTAATTGTTCTAATCATGGCCACCAGTGATAGGGTAGTCAACAATAGGGGATCAAAGTTTCACATAGGAATTTTTTAAGAAAAACGGGGCCATGAATTTATATAAATATGCTAGCATTCTCAGATAGTGCAAAATTAAGTTACTTTGAATCATGGTCCCGTGAGCTAGGTTGGGGTCATTGGTAGAAACCAAATTTTTTGCTTGGGAATAAATTAAAAAAACCTTTAAAAAAATTCTTCTCAAGAATCACTGAGCCATGATTAGTAATATTAATATTACTATATATATATAAAGTATGCTCCAGCAGTGTAGGTGGAATCATAATTTGTTCATAAATTCAAACATTGACCCATTGGACTAGATGGTAATAAAATAGGTATTCAAATTTAACATGAGCAATAATTTGTGCGAAAATTTAAACAAATCTTTTCAAAAATAGAAGGCCTACACTGAATCATATTGATATGCAAACATTCCCAAGGTCTTTGATTTTAACTTTTGCTTGAATTTTGTTAAATCTTCAGAACAGCAAGGTCGTGCAAGTTATATTTATATATTTTCTTCAGAAGAACTGCGGGGCCATGGTGACTCAGGTGAGCGTTGCGGTCAATGAAACTCTTTTTAATGCATTTAATCAAACAAAAATATAATAATAATATAATATATGGAATCAATTTATGATATTCATCTCAAATATGCTTAAGGTGAAATTAATGATTTATTTTACACAGCTGCTCTGCTCTGACAAAGGAAGAAAGGAAACTCAACATGGATGCAAATGCCTATATCATAATAAATATAAATCAATATGTTATGTACATGTATTTAATAGGTACACTTCAGTTAACAATTTTGTAATCAGTGACCTTTAATGTATAATTTAAAAGTTTGAAAATAACAGGTACTGAACTCAAGTGTTTCCAATTGCCTCTAAAACTTATTAATTCTGCTCTTATGATATATGGTTAAACTACACATGTTGACACTGTAAACGTACCTAATATGGCACCTTTGCGCTACTTCTTGTCCATTCGTGTACAAGCTAATTCATTATTTAAACTAATATATTTCGATGCGCTTATTCATGATTATGCTAATCAGTTGAAGTGAGAAATGGCGATAAATTTTGAATGCGCTGAGTTATATACGTTTACAGTGCAGGTAAATCCAATAGTCCTGTATGCATTTGATGAAATTTCTAAACATGTTCCATAAGTGTAAAAAGTAACTTCTCAATATGTGTTATCATTATTTGTTAATGAATTTATTTAACAATAATTTATTTCAAATTACCGTCTTTTCCAGAAATCACTAAAATCTTAACAATTCATTTCCTGATATAATAACATTGATTTGATGTAAAGTAAAAACAAGGAAGTGCTTATAATTTCATAAGTGTGGTTGTTTGAAATCTGTAGTTCCTGTACATGATCACTGCAATTTCATAAAATCACTATTTTCACTGGAGATACTTGTACACTCTCAATGTGTTCATGAATAGTTCTCCCACGTACGTAGAGATTACTTTGATCATCCACACACACACTACAGGGAATGTCTACACCTTGTTGTCGTGTGAGTAATAGAGACAAGAACTGGCCGTCCTGATCATGGAGATGAACACTGTCACTATCACACACCAGGATGTGACCGAGGACATCAGTACAGATTCCAGAGGGACGGAACCCTGATTTCTGGCCTGTGTATGCGAACCTGTATTGTCCAGATTTATACATCACCACTACTGTATTATTAAAGTCTGATGTACAGATATCTCCATTGATGTTTTCTGTAATGTGGTGTGGCATATCATACAATTTCTGCCCCTTGTTATTCCTCTGTATGAACTGTAGTTCTTTTCCTGTCTTGTTGTACCTGGTGACTTTAGCCTCTTCAAACTTCCGATTCATCCCAACCAGTAAGTCCCCGTTGATGTGGGATGAGTGTATGCTGAGTGGTTCCCATTCTCCGGTTTTAATGAATTCAGTGATATTGTCATCCTGTGTTATCATATTGATGACATTTTTCTTTCTGTCTGTAAAGATCAGATCCCAGTCCTGTGTCACTGTGTGGTAACCTTCAGATCCACCATTGGTTTTTATCTTCTGTACCTCATTCCCCTGTAGATCTGTTTGAACAAGATTGCCATCACTGTAACTTATCCAGAGTTTGTTTGGTTGATGTAATGATACATGGAATAAACAATCAACTTCTGGTACATTGAACTCCCTGACCTTAGTGACAGAGACAGATAAAGACATTGTTTGTTTCATATCAGGTTTCTTAACTGTATTGTAGATATTTTCAATGGGCCTTATTTCTCTCTTCTCTGCCTTAGAGTTGGGGACATGTATTTTACAAAGTAACTGAGTGATATCACTTTTGCTGCATTGACCAGCAGTAAATCCTGGTGTGACTGGTTTTGTTGTCTCTGTTATACATTGTATATTCGGCTTCTCCTCAGACAATAATTTTTGAGGTTCTGTAGAGGACAGGCATCTGTGAAGCTCTTTGACAAGGTTATTAAGATAAGTGATGGAATCATCCATTGTCTTGTTTTGGATGTTTAGTTCTTCTAACAGTGAATGCTCTGTCTGGTCTAGCCGATTCAAGTTCTCAGATTCGACACCAGACTTTTCGACTCACCTTCAGTCTTCATGGATGTTCTGATGTTTTCCATAATGATTTTAATATTTAAGAGATCTTCTTTTATTCCTCCCTGTAAATCATTGAGAGGTGGGGAGATAATACTCATCAATTTTCGAGGTTTCTTCTAGGTAGAGCAAATATTTTTCTGTTTAGACCGTTTCAAGATCAACAAATTGGTGGTTTCCCTTTGTAGCACATCTAGAACATAATGGAACTAGGCATTCTTCACAGAACATGTCCACATCTTTAGTGGGGTGGATCTTGCATTTCTCCACAGGAAGTTGTCGTCTACGTCGCTGGTAAAGGACAACCTCATGAATTTGGGTTTCTAGACTTTTCAGATGTTCATCTCTGTATTGTTTGCACAATCTTTGATGACAAGGGTTGCAATAGAACTCGCAGTTTCTTTCACATTCTTGAATATCACATTCTAAAAAGTATTGGGCTGTGCTGGGAATATCCATTTCTAATTATGATAGTTGTTACATGTTACACCACATTGTTACATTCTGTTATGATAATATAAAGAAGTACCAGAGATTTAGAATTTTCATACAGATTATTAGTTTATGCAAATGCGGAAATGCAATTGCAGGTCATTCTCTTCCGAAGGCAGAGCTTTTTCCACTTTTGTCATTTCCGCAAATGCTCACAATATCTTCTCTCCTATGCCATAATATCAATGTTATGTGTGTAAAATATTTTTACAGTGTAAAATAAACCATACATAGAAGAAAACCTCGTATTATTTTGACAGATTATCAAATTGGCCTCATTGTTTCCATCCTTTTTTTTTACGACTATGCTGTGTATAAATAAAACAGTTCAGTACGTTTTCAACAATGAGATACTGTAGTTTATCCATTGAATAAAATTTACATTTTCGCACCGTGAAAATAATTTGCTTACAACCTGAACACGTGTATGTCAAAATCACTCGTGAGACATATATGCAGGATTTTTAAAAATAATATATATTTTAATTCATTTTAACTCGCACTCGTGAAAATATCAAATATGTTTGGACATTCTTTCTCATTCGTGAATTAAATATTGATTCCATATCCAACTACAAAACAATTCCTCTATTTCTTTTTAAATGCTATTTTGATTCAAATTATTATCAATTTTTTTAAATTCTATTTTATTTATTTTTTAATTAATCAGTTAATTTATTGCAGATTTTATGAAATTAATTGTGTTCTCTTCGTTTGTTTCTTGTAACCGCTTTCTGTGGTTCTGGCTTTCATAAAGAACGAATATTTACGATGCTAGAGAGAAGTGCCCCAACACCATTTGTGCATGCATATTAAGAATATAAATTATGGACTTGTCAGTAGCTCGTGATTATCTCTGAAAATATTTAATATTGTGCATACATTCAAAATAAAATGATAATAATTTATTGCAGAGCTATAGTTCATAAATTCGGTTTAAAATGAATAAAGCATTTAAATTATATTTACATGTACCTGTATATCATGGAAGGCATAAATCATCTGATTAGAATCAATCCTACAAGTAGATCCGCTCCTTCTTTTTTAGTTTTAACGTTGCACAAAACACTAAAAGAAGAAGCGGATCACAAGAATCTAGTTTTAATCAGACTGGGTATTTAATGAGTTGGTTGACTTTGGACTGATAGCAAGATATTTCAAATGACACATAAAGGATGTCTACATATATTCATCTTAAATTTCTGGGTTCGATTCTCGTTCGCCGCGACTAAGATGTATTTAGGTATTGCGGACCGTTCTTTCTCCTTGCGCCCAGCACTAGACGTGAAAGCCACGGGTCCTTAAAATCCGAGGTCCCGTGTCACGGTAGGCGTTGGCAACATAAAGAACCCCCCTTGCTCAATGACCCTGAGTGCTGAGTATAGGTCTAAATTTGCAGCCCTTCACCGGTATATGGTGACGTCTCCATATGAGTGAAAAGTTCTCGAATGGGACGTAAAACAATATACAACTAGTCAATCAATCATTAATTTCTGGAAGTAATTTTAGATTGGGAACAATTAAGATATAACTCAAAAGGATATAAACCTTAAAAAAAAAAACAAATAAATAAAGAGTTTATATAAATATGAACAGACAGAAACTTAAACATATATTTACGCTTTATCGAGCTCTTTAATATTTAAATACTGAGTAATTTTGATACAAAACTGAAACCTTAGTACATAGGTCCCTGAAAAAAAGACCAATACCACCCCCTCAAAAAAAAGGCAAACAAACAAAACAAAAACAAGCAAAATCAATATCCACTGCACTATTTTTTGTACATCTACATTGTAATTCAAGGGAAATTTTTTTTTTTTCTGGATATGCTGGAACATATCGATATATGTCAATTGTATAAATCCATTCTAAAATATACTGTACATATGTTGTACTTGCTTGAATAATGATCGCCTTCTAAAAGTTCAAGTTCATGTTTTTCTTTCAAAGTTATATTCAGTCGTAAGATCTGCACTTGTTGATCGAGTTCTCAAAAGAAAAAGGCTTACAATCGCCCCCTCCCCCCCCCCCCCGGCCGATCATATACGTTGTACTTCTCTTTTTTTCTCTCTCATATATTATTAAGCTTTTTTTCTTCCACATATTTACGATGTGCTCAATATGAATCATTAAAATATATTGTCTTATAACATTGAAATACAGATGAACTATTGAATTGAAAATGTATGAAAATAGTAATGTTGAAGACACATACTCAATGGGGTTCTTTTTTCTTTCTTTCTTTCATTTTTTTCTTTTTTTTTTTTTGATATTTCTACATCCCTCTAACAGGAAATCAGGTAGTTTATTATCCCTATCTCTTTGTCTGACCAACAATACTAATACAATACGAAATTTACGAAATTGACACTTTACTTTTCAACTTTTCATTATATTTTGAAATCTTTGAATTAATATTTAAAGTTTGTTGTGAATTAAAATAAGAAACGTATTTTTAAAAACACATGAAGTTTTAAATTATGTATGTACCGTAAATTTTGTTCGGAAAATAAAGCTTTTTTTTCCCTTTTTCATATCAAAATACATATTTTTATTGTTAATTCAATCTCAAATTTAAATTGTTTTTTGAGATTCACTTTTTTTTTTGATGCATTGCCTACTGTCTTCACCCTTGATTAGCTGTGCGCATGTTCACATACTTCAAAATTAATGTGAACAGAATATTAGTTTATGATGAAATCAACATGGTCCTTCATTTTTACATTATTTCAAATTTTTCTATACATTTCATTGTGTTTCAAATGAAATGTAAAACATATTTTAGGTACATGAACCAATTTACTTGCTCTTTCACAACAAGAACAACTAATGTTTAGAGAAAGACTTCTGTGTTAAATTTTAGCTTTCTATGTTTGTACATCAGGCCTCTAAGTAGCCTCTAAAATTTAGGCGCCAGCTGGCGCCTTATCAAAAAGAATTAGTCGCCAATGCAAAATTTTAGTCGCCAGGCAATTTTTCTTAGGCGCCAACTTCAAAAGCTAATAGAATATAGGGGCCAATGATGTACCCAAGAAAACATGACATGTCCATTGCTAAAAGAATTTTCCTTTTCTTTTAAATTTCTTTTCGCTTTTTCAGAAAATTCGTAATAAAAAAATGTGGAAATTTCCGGAATTCGACGGTCGCCAAGTCAATTTAAAATGGTCGCCAATTTGGCGACTTATGGAAAAATTTTAGACGTCAATCAAAACTTTTTGGCGCCATGGCGACTAAATTAGTCGCCAATTAGAACCCTACACATGTAACTTTCCATGCAAGTATAGTTTTGATGGTATTAATTAGCTGGCTCCACCCATTTTCTCTCCATGATACATTTTTGTATGTAAGCTATACACCTTTTATCTCTGTGCTTTTTTCTGCCTTCAACAAATACATACATGTTGACTCAAGTTTGCACTCAGTTATAACTAGCAATAGAATAATTATTTTAAAATAATTCATTTTCAAATACTACTTTATACATATTGATAACAGTTTGTATTCCTTGGTATGCAATACCAATGAATATAAAAGAAAAAAATAATACCAACAAACATAAACAAATCTTATTAGAAATATTGATTACAACATGATGCTAAAAATAACAATTTTATTCTTGAATAAATGAAGGAAATCATCCTCCAAACTTTGAATACTAATTATAATATTGTTTGAACATGAAATAAAAAATGTGGATGTTTATCAGCCTTGTATCTGCGTAAGGTTGCCAGTGCTTCAAAGTTGTTGTATCTCATGAAAGATAAATACCAATATTGGCAATGAACATATTGACTAAAACAAGAGATGTATTAGAATAATCTGGAAGAACTAAAAATGTTACCAATTTATTTGAAAAACAACAAAAAGATGCATCAGCAACTAGAATGAATTATATACACATTCAGACAAGAGTTAATTGTTATGATATAATGTTTTGGCTATCAATTTATGAAAACAAAATAGGATACATAATTAAAAATAAAATAAAATTAATAAATAATATCACATAACATTAATGAAACATATTTGGTTTACAATTCTAGAGTAGTCAAGATCAAAAGTCGTTCATCTGCCAACAGTATATCTCAATCTACAACCTTATTCTGTAACCATAGAACTCTTCTTCTTTTTCTAAAATGTTTCTTAGATATTCGACTACCAAATATTTTCTGGATTTCTAAGATATCTCGGTCATATTTTCAAGATCAATACTTCGTAGACTCTTATTCATAACACCCTCCTTCTTCTTCTTTAATTGTGTGAACAGTAAAAGCTTGTCAATGGCAGTAAAAAAAAATGTGAAATACCGTATAAGCAGAAATTTTAGCGAGGATCCAATTTTGGCATTTTAGTGAGGTTACCATTATATTTTTCGGTATTATAAAATCACTAAAATAACCCTTCGCTAAAATTACATACCGATATTTCAGGACAAATCGCTAAATTTGAGTCTCGCTAAACATTTCACTTATACAGTATATTTTCACATAAAGTATGCAGTATGTTTTCTCAATGTCAAGACTGTTTCTGGGTATATATAGATGCTACATTACTCATTAATACATAACCGATTATTTTAATAAATCAGTCTTGTTATTGTAAAGATCAGCACATGCAGTTACTCCATGCAATAGCCTGCTTCTATATCTATAACAAATTACAGTCAACGATAAATCAAAAACAAAAATTAAGTAGGTTATATCGGTATATGTCCCTGTACAAAAAGAGTTCACAAAGAGACCCCAGAAATAATAATAATAAAAAAATAATTAAAGCCCCAAACAGTAGTGACTAGTGAATCATTTTACTTCTTACATGTTCCCATATGCACAATATCACAGTGTAATGAAATTGAATAATCATGGTGGATTGAAAGGCGCCTGGAATCATCAAATCGAATCATTTTATATTTAGCCAATCATCGTTTACATTACAGCCAATCAGAGCTTACCAATTATTAAGCA